TTGACTTCACACAAGTCTGCTTTTCAATGGAAATCCCCCCTTCAGTTGATCTTACACCATCATCAAGGGGTAATTTCTGAGTGTTTGGTGTTTGCTTTTTTTGATGATTCCCTCAGCCTACCTCTCAACCGCAATATTTAAGTTACTACATATCAAAGAGCAACAGACATAAAACGAGATATAGGAAGCCAATGATTATTCTTTGAAGCTGCAAGCATTCACTGCAAACCCCCCCAAAAAAACACTCACATTTTTGCAGATTTTCAATTTGCGTTTTTGATTTGGCCACCGTAGTTGAGCCCCTGAAGATAACTTTGCTCCTGGTAAAAAAAACCTCCTGAACATTTGGATCTTGAGTTATCAGAGGAAAAAGGTGAGCACACATTAGCAGGTGCTATGCTAGCAGCCTGTCTCCGACATGCCAAACAGCGCTAGAAAGACACTGATTTGTAACATGAAACTGCTTTATTAAGTGTTTTTTTTAAAATTAAAAAAACAAAAAAAATTGTCTTGGATCAGAGGAGACCTCTGCAGATAATTCTGCTTCAAGTAAAACAGGAAACATATAAAGCAGCGTAGGAGAAACACTGATTTGTAACATGAAACTGCTGTATTCAGGTTTCTTTTTTTTTTTTTTTTTTACCATTTTTAGTTTGACCCATGCTTCCAAACATTTTGGAGACAGGAAACTGGTGACGCAGATGGTGAGATGAAAGCCTGATTGTAGAAACAGATAGTACAGATCCTATGCATTGTTTTACAAATAAGACCCCTGCTACATTTGTTTTGGAGAGGAGGAGATCTCTGCGGATAATTAGGTAAAAACCTCCTTACAAAGAACACTGAGGGAATTCTAACCGAGAGTAGTTTCCGCCCGGTTGCAATTCGCAATCCTCACCGGTAGATACCACTAAATGCCTTTAAACCACAAAAAAGTAAAAGCTTTATTTGATATAACAGAAGTAGCAAATGCTCAAACAACCATGTGGAAACAACTCGGCCTAGCCAGTAGCTTTCAAAGTGTCCAGCCACAGCCGTGAAATGTCTTTTTGCTGCCTCTGAGTCATCTGTATTTGATGGCATTCTGTCCAAATGTGCTTCAACAGGCAGACGTTTGTGATATGTAGCCGTGTACCTCAGAGCACCTTCAAGTCTTGCCTGCAGTGTAGCACACATATCTGTGAGCTCCTGGATGTGAAACGATGGAGGCCACATATTTCACCCAAATATCCCCCACAGGAGCCATCCCCCTGATTGAACATCATATTATGCCTACCATACACTACAAGACTCTAAAGAGATTTTTAAAAAAGACAAAGTCTGACACCCTCTCACATCTAGAAACAATATGAGTTTTTAGTCACACAAATAAGACTGGGGATCTCGCAGGGTCACTATTTGCAGGACTACAATTAGATTGTTTCCTAGATTATTTCACATTCTGAAAATATTACACCAAACTCCCTTTAAGAAATATGACATGTAAACATTTTCTTACATGTCTGCAAAAACACAGAGCTTTTGAAACACAAGATAAATGCCAATTCTGCATCAGTATAATCCATACAGACAAACTGCATTTGCATACAAACCTTACATTTTGAATTTTGTCAGTGGGAGGAGACCATGGGAATGAGAGGCGAACCATTCCAAAAATTAAGATTTCTCACTACAATAAGCACTGGTTAGTGGATCAGATAAACAAAGAATTAGATACCAATTCTTCACTCCACAACTGCTACAGTTTCACCTCCTTTTCCACAGTCCAAGAGAACTGAATGTCTTTATTGTCATTGTACTTTACAATGCAACTAAACTAGGAGTGCTTCTCCACCATGGTGCGTACAATTAATACAGCAATAAAATAGCTGTAATGAAATAAAGTGCAGGTGTTGACGTGCAAGAGTTGGCAGTGAGTGGACTGAATTTGTTTAACTATAGCCCCTTTTACACTCCCAGATTTTCCGCGAATGTTGGGCCGTTTTGCCAGCAAGCTGCGAACGTTTAGACACACAGAGCCGGATTGGCGAGTTGATCCGAGGCGCCCAGTTTTCCGCCTTGTAGGGTAGACATATTGGTGAAATCTTTTTGGTTTAAAAAGAACGAGGCGGCCTTCCGCCACGGGAGGGGCTGTTGAAGACTTGTGGAAGGAGCTGTTGCACGTGCGAGCCACTGGCGGTGGATAAACAGCAAACAGCTGATAGCAGGAATTAGCGAGCAGCTAGTAGCAAGAGGGAAACACAAAACTGACAGACACTGTAAAGATGAGCAACTGGGGAGACAAAGAATTGTGCGCCCTCCTTGTCCTCGCAAAAGAAGAGGCAATTAACCGTCAGATGACGGGGACGGTGAAGGACTGACTAGCACCGCCTGACTAGCCGAGGCTTCCCTCCTCACGCCCCCCATTGTCCTGAAAAAGGCACATTCTGTATAAACAAAAGTAGGCAGGCGGCATTTTGCTGCACTCCCCGATTTTGTTCTTATACTGCCAATGCTGAAAAAAGACTGATTGGGCTTTCCTGCAAATATGCACAATTCCTGTTTAAAAAGGGCTTATGTTTGTTTAGTGAAATTATTACATTTGGGAAGAAGCTATTTCTAGTTCTGGATTTGATGGACCTGCAACGCCTACCAGAGGGTAACAGTTCGAACAGGTGGTGGCCGGGATGTGTGCTGTCCTTAATGAGTGTGTTTACAAGGTCTTTAGTATCCCGGTTTTGATTGGGTATTTTAAGTATCCCGTTTTTGTGTTTGTGCATGTAAACACCATATCCCGAATTCAGAAACCGGGTTATGCCCTTTTCCCGGTTTCAAGAAACCCGGTTTTGTCACCTGGAGTACTCCGATAGAAGCAAGGATACTGGAGCATGTATACGCCTTATCCCGGTCTCTGACGGCTGCCTGCCGTGTGCGCAGGCGCCAGAGTGACATACCAGATATACAAGCAACATGGCAGCCTTGTACTGCGTGGTGGCAGTGACAGCTGAATACCTATCAAAGGTGACATATTCAATATTTGTTGTCGCTCTCTCCTCCCATTGCTGAAGATCAAGTGGTTGAGCCATAGCTGTAATGCGACGTGAGTATTTACTAACACTAAGCCCGCTAGAAGCCACTCATTTTTGTCTTACTTCTAAATATAATAAATATATCACATTTCCCGCTCAATCTGTTGTAAACAAAAGACGTAAAAGACGTAACACATGCCTGCGCAGATAGGATGCAGTGATCAGAAAACAGATTACTGGTATTTATCATGTATACACTGATATGAATAACCGGGTTTCTCTGTGTTCCATGTAAACATCATGTCCCGTATATGCTCAAAGCCGGGATACTAAAGACCTTGTAAACACAGTCAATGATGTTATTGGCTCTTGAGAGAGTGCGTCTGTTTGCAGTGAGGGGAGGGGGCACCCAATGACTTCTTCTGTTGTCTTGATGATTCTCTGAAGAGCTTTTTTGTCTGCAACAGAACACCCAGCAAACCACACAGAAAAAGGAAAATAATAGGGGCAAATTTTTAACCTGTGTGTTTTGACCTTGCATAATTGAGATCCAGGAGCGCACTATAACTAAAGTAAAGCTCATGAGTTTATTCTGACTTTGGAAATTTGTCTACGACAGTGAAATTGCTTGAGGCTGGTACTAAACATGATCAGTACTCTTCAGTGCACTGCAATCTTCGCTGTGTCCTCGTGGTCTTTTGAGGCTTGTAGAGAAACTTCTATCTCGTATATTTTACCAGACATTTCATACTGTATTGTTCTAAAACTGGGCTCAGTGAGTGACCCTGATCCAGGGAACCAATTGCTTGTCTGGGTGATACTGGTTGTGAATCGTTCAAATTGTGGTTGTTACAGTAATTTGAAGCTGTCTTGCACAACAATTTCCTTCAGGATAAATAAAGTTCCATTGAATTGAACTGAACTGAATTGAATGTTTTACTGTATCACTCAATGGATGTTTCCACTTTTTTCTTTTCCCAACCCAAACATGCTAAATACTGTGCATGGATTTACACACCTCTCCTTCATACGGACATGTATTAAGCAACAAACAAATCACAGCTGTCTGTTCTGGCAAAGGTTTCCATTTATATACAAATACAAGTGCATATGTGGCGGATGCTCAATTTCATATTATATATTTATTTCCCACTGGCAGACGGGGACTCTAGGCACAGAGGTCACCCAGATGTTAGATCCGGCATTGTCTGCTGGATTCATCTGGAAAGGAACACCATGTGTTTCAGAGCTGATCGTTCTTTGAAATTCCCAAGACTTACAGATGGGATGTAAAGTACAGTAAGAGAAGCACTAACTTTAATTCAGAAAAAAATACATTTCTGTGTGGGAGGAACAAACACAGTTTTGCGATCTGTATCTGATTAACTTTGTCTGTACTACTCTTCAAATTCTTTCATTTTTTTTATTTTCTGAGCCAGATTATCTTGACAGGGTCTTTTACACAGAGGGGAAGAGAATCTGCTGAGAGCGCTGAAAGGGATGACAGCTTCATATAAACGACAGCAATATAAAAGAAGCTTCTGCAGCATGATTTAAGAACTTACAGTGGGAGTCCAGGAGAGGTGATATGATGTAGTTATTTTTGGCATGCGGAATTGGACGACACGGGACAAATTGAAGGAAAGGCGGTTGTTAACGGGCCAGAATCTGAGTCATGGACACAGAAAAGTAAATTGTGGACAGAGGAGAAAAAGAGAGGGAAAGTGGAAAGGGAGAGTTGACCTGCTTTTCTGTTTGGGTGATGACAGTTCCCTCATGTTCTCTGTAATGAAACTTCTGGATGGAGGTGCAGCAGTGTCTTCAGTAAGAGTGATGGTGTGTAAGGAGGGGTGGAGGACAGGAGATGGAGGAAAAGGAGGAAAAGGGTAGAGGGGACATAATGGGGGAGAAGGACAGTGTTGACTTTCTTTGATGAGGGAGGGAGTAAAGGTGTGTGTGTCTTGTGTGTGTGTGTGTGTGTGTGTGTGTGTGTGTGTGTGTGTGTGTGTGTGTGTGTGTGTGTAGAGACAGAGAGGGAGGGAGAGTGTATATGAGAGTGAGGTTGCTCCTCAGTAGTTCCTCCTCTCAGTCTGACACCAGCAGCCTGCTTTTTCCTCCTCAACTTCAGTGAAACTCCACCAGGTAAGAAAAAGCGACCAGACACTCTGACACGATGTGACAACGACTTTATGACAATCCGTCTCGCGGTCGAAGCGACTCTGCAACATAACCCTCCGGAGCTGCATAAAAAAATTATGAAGAAGAAGAAGAAACACCCGGCGGCGCGTTTGCGTGCTTGCAGAGACGTGCAGGATTGAAGAAGTTATTCACAAGTCGCCAACTCGGCAGCAGGTTTTTTTTTTTTTGTTAGGAAAAGTTACCTCTAACATCTTCGTGCACGGTCTCACGCGCCGGCTCACTGACACGTTTCTCAAAGCGCACGGCGCTCGCGCATGTGTGTGTGTGCATGTTCTGTAACTTGAGTTGTGTGTGGTTTATCCGGAGCGCAGTTGCATGCCAAACTGATGCTCTGGCGTTGTAGACGTGGCTCCTTAAACGTTTTCATTATGAGTGTTGCATGTGTGTTGTGGTTGGGTTATTACGCGGCTGTGTGTGTTCAGTTGATTAGCGGCATGTTGTCATCATGACTATAGTGCAAATTGTGCACACGGCTCCGGGGGGGTCCTGAAGCCTGAGGAGGGGTGAGGGCTGATGAGGTAACACGAGGTCAGGATAGCTATAATGAATTGGCAGTAACTCAGCTCCTGTCACACAGAGGTGTCAGGAAATATCAAGTTACCAAACACACTGTGAAATCTTTTAATCTGTTGTAGAGATGGAATCTATTTCTAAGAAGGGCTGAAATTATTTTAATGTTTGTTGTCACAATGTATTCTAACCACAATTCATGAGTAAGAAGTTTTTCCCCTGCAAAACTTGTCTGTCTAGCCTGCAACAGATCTATAAACAGCAGGTATTACTCATGCATGGACGGTGTGGAAAATAAATATAGATAGATTTTCATGGTACAATAAATGTCTCAGAAAATATCACGGTGTTACACAATTATTAGTATTATTCTTATTAAAATTATATGTTACAATTCCCCGTAAGAGAATGGAAACAAAAGGAATTCTCTTTTTCATCAGACAGTCGAGGAAGAACGGAGATGCACAGATGAGATTCACTGTCAGGTTGCATTTTTTGTCAATACCGAACATAAGCAAATGTACACAGTATGGTCAATTTTCATACCACGGTAGCATACGTTTCACAGTATACCGCTGCAACCTGACTTTCAACATATCCATGATCATAGTTTCAAAGAAATCAGTGTGTGGGATCATTTGACATTATTAGGTTCTGAGAAAAACAGACAGTGAAATGTATACGTTGCACAAAGGCAGGGCAAATTAGAGCAATCATATGTAAGTAGGCTAAAAGTATTTTTTGCTTGCTAGTTTGGACTTGCAGGTATCCCTATGCGTTCCCTATTTATTTTCGTCTTTGAGAAGTATACCTGTTAAACTACAATTAATAGCCCCAGCTATTATTTGCTTGAATCACTGAAGTTAATGGGCCTATATGTGGGACAGGCCTTCAATTCCTTTCACACAAAACTGTTGCTCAGCAAAGAAATAAACGAGAAATATAATCAAATATTTATTTAAACTAGTATGAATATTACTTGTATAAAATTAGGCTTCAGATAACATACCACTTATTAATCATTCATTTGATCTAGCCCCGACAGCCAGCAAGCTGCGAGCGTGATTGGCGAGTTGATCCGAGGTGCTCAATTTTCTGTCTCGTAGGGTAGACATATTGGCAGAACCTTTTTGGTTTAAACAGAACGGGGCGGCCTTCCAGGGGGGCTGTTGATGACTTGTGGGAGGAGCTGTTGATGATGCTGCATGTGCGACCCACTGGCGGTGGATAAACAGGAAACAGCTGATAGCAAGAATAAGTTGCTAGTAGCAAGAGGGAAACACAAACCTGACAGACACTGTAAAGATGAGCCAATGGGGAGACAAAGAATTGCACGCCCTCCTTGCCCTCGCAAACGAAGAGGCCATTAACCGTGAGATGACGGGGACGGTGAAGGACAGCCGACTTACGAGAGAATCGCTGAAGGACTGACCAGCCGCAGCTTCCCTCCCACATCACTGTTTACGTCACACGCTGAGCTACATGTTTTGTTACTTGCTCACGCCCCCCATTGCCCCGAAAAAGGCGCATTCTGTATAAAGAAAAGTAGGTAGGCAACATTTTGCTGCACTCCCTGATTTTGTTTTTATACTGCCAATGCTGAAAGAAGACTGATTGGGCTTTCCTGCAAATTTGCACAATTCCTATCTGAAAAGGGCTAGAGAGAGAGAGAGTCAAGAATTACGGCACCCGGCATACAAACACTAGTTTTTGCTGTTTATAGTTTATACTCACAACTTAGATTAATTTGTATGAAAAACCCTTTTGATTCTTTTGATCTGAGGACTCTTATGGACTAAAGGAATATGAATAACTTACAGGGTAGTCGAGAAACTGACACATAATCTGAGGTAGCCAACAACCTGGTTTTATACATCTGAAGAACTTCAACAAACAAAATGAACTGTTTGGCAACCAGACCAGGCGTCTAATTGAGACAGGCGCTTATTTGTCAAAATGTGCAGCCACACAGGGACAGTGAAAGGGACTGGGCGTTTAATTGGGACAAGACTTTTGTGAAGTTTTACAGTATGTAAAGTCTCATGCATGGCCAACATGTACTCGATGGCTTTTTTAGGTGAAGCAGCCATTTCTGGCACTTATTGGTAATGAAAATGTTAATGAGCCTGATGTAAGATGGATGTAAAGTAACAGAAACATGGCTGAATCCCATTCTATAAAGCCTATGTCACGGATGTATTCTTTTAAATGGATACCAGACTCCAAGCTGCTGCCCATTAAGGATAGACCGATACATCGGCCGGCCGATATATCAGGCCGATATTTGAGTTTTTTACTTGTATCAGCATCAGCTGATACGCGCGTGGGTTCGCGGATTTATTTTTCTCTGGCACTTTTTTTCATTTGAAAGTATGTGGTTAAGTTGAACAAAGCTGTTGAATCCTACTGTGTACAGTAGTTGTTGTTTTATTTATGCTTCAGCTTAAATATTTGTTTATTTTATAAAGACATTACTGGAAGATTTAAGAGCACTGAACTCTTTTTTTTATTTGAATAATAATAATAATAATAATAATAATAACAACATTCTACCTGTTCTACCTCAACTTTCCATCTTGTTTTAGTATTTTTTACTGTTCAATAAATCTTTCTTATTTTAAACTTGAGACCTGTAATATTTGTTATCATTGTGTCATTTTTTTTTATGTAAATTGAGGAAGCAAAAGCAGTATCGGCCCCAAATATCGGCTCAAGAAAATCGCCAGTCCATAATCGGTCATCGGCTAAGGGTGATGGAAAAAAATCGGTATCAGCATCAGCCCTAAAAAATCCATATTGGTCTCTCCCTACTGCCCATTCAGTTTTATATCTTCTTTGTAATGGTGGTCGGTAGTGATGTCCAAATGAAGCTTCATGAACAGCCAGTTTTATTTTTTGAACCCACTAGATGGCGCTTTTGGTGTAATGAAAAAGGCTCAAGGGATGGCAATGCAGTTTGGTTTCAACCCTTTGCTGAACAAAGAGTGCCGGAGTGGACTCAGAAAATAAAGGAAATGGTTCATGAAGTGTTATTTGGCCATTGCTAGTTAAAACCAAGCTGCATTACCATCCCTTGAGCCTTTTTCATTCCACCAAGAGCGCCATCTAGTGGGTTCAGTCAAGACAACTGGTGGTTCATGAAGCTTATTTGGACATCACTAGCACTGGTCGGTCTTTGTAATTTGTTTGCAGTACCATGGTTGGTCACTGGGACAAAATGGCAGCAAAGATAAATCTGTCAAATGCTGTATTCCACTAACCTCAGAAGTCGGGTCCGAGCTGGGAATAACATCACATACAAGTTAATTGTGTTCCAGTACAAGAAGTTGAAAGATCAAGATTAGCCATTGTTAGCGATACTAGTTGATAACAACGCCATATTTTATGCACACAAACACTGTAGCAACATGTCCACACAAAGAGGTTGGACGAGACTGTGTGTACAACTGTTTAAATGAGACACAAATAAGACAGAGGTGCTTACAAACAGTATATTACTACAGCTTTAAATACTGCTGATGCATACAGCATCGCAGAGCCATCTTGGATTTTTAGGTCGGGCTTGGTGAGGCTCCTCCAACTTTCTGATTTTGAATTTTCAACTGGATACCCCGACTTCCCAGTGCAACTGCAATGCACCAAATGTATATCAGCTTTGTTAAAACATCTATAATGTTTGTACACCATATGCAGCGGATCATACCCTCCACACAGATGAAGACATTTCCTCTGCAGCATCCTTTGCTCCTGAATCAGTTTTGTTGAAATAATGGCTCCTGCTTCAAGGGTGAGTGGGCTTTGACACACATTGATGACGTGTTTCCCTTAAAACATACAGGAAAAAAAAAGAAAGAAATCCAAGTAACCTGTTATCTTTCCTACACGGTGCAATTTTTGGTCCAATGTGAGCACTATGGGGCTGCAACAACCACTCAGTGCTCATGCCTTTGTCTTTATGACACGAATACTGCAATTTATTTTGTGTACTTTTGATGGTTTATGAAGTTTGTAACCAACTAATTGAAGCCATAATTAAGTTGTGGCCATTGCAGATAATCATGGGTACTGTATGTGGGTCATGCAAATAAAAATGATGAATCTGAACTAATATTTCAAATATGTTCCATAAGTGAGCAGAAATGTGTCCTCTGACATCTGGCTGGCTGTGATACTGAAGCAGATTCAGATAATAACTGTTTTGATTATATTTTACTATCAGCAGCTGGATAAAAATATCATGGCGGCCAGAGTTCCAGTCATTTCATTTCTCACAGTCATGCTCCATCCATCATCACAAATCCAGTTAACATTCATCCATCATTGTAAAAGCCCTCGGGAATCTCTCCGTTATCTCTCTCATCTTTCTCTCCCATGTTTATTTTTTCTCTCTCATATCCGCCTTTTGTTTTTGTTTCACTTTTACATCTCGCTTTTCAGAGGATTTTTGTAACATATTTGTGGAGTTCAGAGGCTTAACGTGAAGATGGTCGGCGAGGAATAGATGGAGACAGAAAAGTGGAAGAAAGGGAGATAGAAAGTGGAGAACTGAGATATACTTTAGACTGAAAAAAACAAAAGGAATGAAAGACAGATAAAGCTGGAGAACACAGGATAGAAAGCCAGGGTTTCTCAGGCAATTGTTTTGGCTTATTGTTTTGGTTGCATGGTCTTCAAATTCCATTCTCATCAGCTATTCCCCACAGCACCCTGCAGCTGTTTTCAGCAAATAAAATCTGATAAACCCATTGTACACTGCCTGCCCAGCACCGAACAGCAGACAGACAAGGTTAGAGAATGGTGAACATAATCGAGCATCTAAAGATGTTTTTCTCAGGAGTTGGTCAAAAAGCAAAAGAAAGATAAAAGGGAAGGATATTGGATTGATATTTGTCGTCAGGTGACCAGCAATTCGACGTCAGATTATATGTAATCAGGCAACTGTTTGCTTATGTATCATTCCTAAAAACTTAATAAAAACAGCAATATGTCTTTTAGTTTTTCTGCCCGTATGGACAAAAAAAATACATAAATACAGCTTTAATGATTTTATGTAGCTATCAACCTTTGTATTAAAGCAGTGGTTTCCAACTAGTCCAGTAGCAGGGTCCAGATTTCTCCTTAGTCATTAGACTAAGACGCAGTTTAATACATTCAGCGTCATGTCTGTGTTTGCCCATGTCCTCAAGCTAGTTTGCTGTCTCTGTCAAGTAGCTCTCCATTAGTCACTCACTCTACAGCAGGAAATGGCACCTACAATTTAAAAGCTATGTGCCACAAATTCACTGTTCTTCAAAATAAAGTGATTTTTACAAATTTGACACATTTGCAAGTCACGTGTGGTCCATTCAGAATGGACCTGCCACCCACCAGTTGGGAACCACTGTATTAAAGGTCTAGTTTGTGGGATTTAGTGGCATCTAGTGGTGAGGTTGCAGATTGCAACCAACTGAAACTTCTCCTATGGACCAAGCATGTAGGAGAACTATGGTGGCCAATACGAAAACAGGAGGATGGGAAAACGGAAATACTCAAATGGCCCTACCCAGGCATCAGTGCATGGTTTGCCCCTTTTGAGCCCTGGTAGAAACAAAATAGTGGACTCCCTTAAGGAGGGCCCACTCTGTGCGTAGTTAGAAATGGCTTATTCTAAGGTAATGAAAACACAGCAGTTCTTAGTTTCATGTGATTATACATTAAAGAAAACATACTAATAATGTATTATACTTGATTTCTGCCAATATTTACCACTAGATCCCACACACTTGACCTTTAAAAGACCTATTGAAGAAATCTGAGGGAGATTAAAGGTTTTGAGGCCTGTGTTTTCAAATATTTTGGTGAGACAATTTACATGTGGATCACTAATTGCATCTTCCCCTCATATTTTTGATCACCTTTTACCCCTGTTGGAAATATCTGGCTCTTTAACTGCTAAATGCTACTTTTGCAACTTTGTCTATCTGTCATTCTGAGGAAGTGTACAGTGGGGTTTTAGAGCTTTTATGCTGAAAGCAGCATCCTGCTGTGACCAAAAGCAGGGCTAGGAGGGAAGCGGTCACATAACCAAAACAGTAAAGTTGCAGGCAGGAAAACCAACATGATGATCAGACAGATGTTACACTGTGAAAGTCTGTAGAAGCAGAATTAGGTAATTATTTTTTGTAGGTTTATGAATGTAAGGGACCAATGTTATTGTCAAGTAATCACAGGATCCATTTGGAATATATTAAAAAAAAACTGATTATAGCCACATAAATAAAACTTTACAATCATCACACCATATATAGCAATTAACATCTAGTATCGCACATATGCATGAAGATATATGCAATATGCTGCCATTGGCATGCCATAGCTTAACTAATGGCACACCAGCAATAACAGTGCTTTCAGGCCTAAAGTTGTCTTGCTTTGGTCTGAATCAGGGACTGATTTTGTTACATAAGTTGTATAATTGCCTAGAGTTGGTTCATGTTCTCACGGCAGCATTTACAAGCGGACCAGATTAAATATCTTGTGTGAGAAAGCTGCTCTTGATTGGTCAGAATTTCCATGTGGGAAAAATCCAGGAAGTAAAGCAAACGTAGAAGAAGAGTACACTTGCAAGATAAATGTGACACTTTCTAATGTCACAATGGAGGGACAACTACGCAGGTTGATTTTAGCGCTGCTCATCGTGGACTATATCGCTGTCATTGTTCATTTTAGTCAAACCACACAGTTTGAAAACGAGGCGCGGCTCCAACTAGAAAACAATGTTTTGATGCATTGGATGTGCTGAATGTGCATATTAAGGCAGTACAGGAGGAGGTGCATATTAATAATCCTCCAGGACTGTAACATGATCATGTTTAACCCAAACAATGTGTCATGTGACTGCAGGTGGTTCACATCCAGGTCGGAACACGTTCTCACCACAAATGTACCAAACAAGAGTTTGTTTGTAAGGTGATCGAGACCACCTCTTCAAGAATGTCTCAGTCCTGTTGTTTTGGTGCGCACCTGAGTGGGATTGCTGTGTTCACACCTGCCCAAACAAACCGCACTTAGGGGGAAAAATAACTTGAGTTTGATTGAGCCAAACCAAACGGGGCAGGTGTGAAAGCACCCTAAGTGCAGGATTTCCGATGCATTCATTTATTTGTTGTAGCCTGTCATGATAAGATCTGCCGCCATGCGCTAATTATCTATTTTTGGAAGAGGACTGTTTATTGGAATCGCTGTTGTAATATATAAAATATGCTGCTAAAAACCAATGCCTCAAGCTATACAGCACAGTGATTAACATGAAAATTTAAAAACGGCACTTAATATCAAAGAGGATCGCCGACCCCTGACTTATACTTTTTGAACCAGCTGGGTTTTATGCCACATCACATGGTCTCTTATGACACACTGGGTTTGGAGGTTCCAGCCCCCCGAGGATTATACTACCTAGAAACATATGCACTCAGTATACGACAAGGCATTCTGGGTACATCAAGTAAATGCCATATGTTTTGTATTATGTTATTTTACGTTGCCACACTGCACCATAAATGTCTTTGTAACCTTAGATTCTCGTTCTACAAAGTCTCATTATTGCTTAATGCAGCTGAAAGCTTTCAGTGAAGTCAAATGAGGAAATCTAGTAGCTTTTGCCAATTTTCAATTTTTATTTATTTGTTTTTAGTGGTGTTGCAGAAATGTGTATCAGCAAGCAGAGAGAAATGTGTGTGTGTCAAGGGTAACAGGTTCAGCAGCACATATTTTCCCTGGAAATGTATGTGAAAGGGCATCTTACTGTGAGCTTATGCAGAGAGAATCAAAACACTGCTGATGTTTTCACATCCAATCGAGTCCAGGTGTGCATGTGTGCACACATATAGAAGGCCACATAACTCCCTCCCTCCCAAATCTATAGCTTTTCTCCTGGGGTTATATTTCTTAATCCAATTCCTCTGGATCCCACATGAGAACTCTTGGGTCACAAGACAGTCGGTCATCTGTGGCTTTGACTTTCATATCGCTGTTTTTTTAAGTCCTTGAAAGTTAAAATGAATCAAAGTTCACTTGGTTTCACACTGTTCTGAATGCCAGGGAAAGTCCTGTGTTTTGTGACACTGGATTTCTCTGTTTGATTGTTGTGCATTAGCGCAAAATCACGAGTCCAAAAAGACAAAAGTTTGCTTGTTGATTCTGACTGCTAGCAAAGCTACATGAATACTGTAAATATTTTCAATTTGTGAGAAGAAAACCCTCAAACTCTACTGTCTTTGTCATGGAAATATCTTGACACTTGGCCAGTTCTCAGCAGGAATGTTAAAAAAAAAACACCAAACCACAGAATGGACCCAAAATTGTTGGTCTGGGTGTTTTTTTCTTTTTTTAGGATTTAGCTTGTTGGACTTTGTAGAAGTTCCTCTGGAGAGGAGAGTAAGAAAGCCCCTCACTGTAAATATAATGTATTATGCTATGACTTCATATGGACATACAGTTGAACAAACATTCAACTCCTACACATAACTTTTCCACTCTTCCTCCTCCCAGGTTGTGACAGCCATGTTGACGGTGTGTTTGAGGCTGCTTTTGCTTCTCCCCCTGGTTTGCTGCGTCCCATCCCCCTCCAGACCGCCTTCCAGACTCTGCAGGCGATGCTGCGATCACCAGGAGTCTCCTGCAGCCGCGGCCCAATATCAGATGCCAGAGGTCCGCACTGTCATCAACATGACCATCCTCAAAGGTACCACAGCTTGGATTAGCTTCTGTTAGCTACGGAGTACTGCTGAATGGTACTTCCTGTCTGTTCGGCAGTTCCCCAGTTTTCTGTTTCCAGTTTGTGTCCTGATCCTGCAGGATGCAATGACTAGTCAGTCTTAGTCATTTATTTGTGTGTCTTTTATTCTATTAGCAGAAACACAGAGTTTGCAGTTACATGTTCATTCACCAAAAACTATCCCCCCCACATATCGTGTTATTATCTGCCTGATTCATGCTACATTTCCTTAATCAGACCTCAGCTTCTGGTTTTCCAGATGGCTGTGTGTCAGCAAGGCGATTATTTAATCAGAGGAGTAACCATGTATGTTGTAATGGAACAGTGCTGCAGAAGTGTAACCATGCATTGATGGATAAAGAAGTATTTTATTGCTGGAAGAAGGTCTTTTCATAAAACTAGTCTGTCAGTGCATTAGAACACAAATGCTTTTGAAATTGGTGCTATATGACCAGAGACAACAGAAAAATAAACAACAGTGGTAATTATTTTTGCTCAAGAGGTAAAAAACCTGCAACTACAAGAATGCACTGCGCTGCGCTGCGCTGGATCAGTAAATCGCTCCTATTGGTGGGTGACATAATGTGAGCTTGTCTGTTTTGACACAGGCAACAACATGGCGGTTGGTTGCTAACAAACGATCTTGAGCCATAGATAAATGGTAAGCTTAAATATCTTTCTGAGGACAATTTAGGCGAGAAATAGACAATGCAGTAACAAAATCTTGGTAGTACATACTCAATTCAGTTCAATTCAGTTTTATTTATAAAGCCCGATATCACAAATCGCAGTTTGCCTCACAGGGCTTTACAGCATACGACATCCCGCTGTCCTTTGACCCTCACAGCAGATAAGGAAAAACTCCTCCCCAAAAAAACCCTTTAACGGGGAAGGCAGTAGGAGTTGGTATCAGGCAGGACCACGACAGCAGCGTAACCAAGACCCATGATCCAGGCGTAGCCACGATTCAAGGGAACCTGCGAGACAGTGGAGCACAAAGGCTCTGGAGAGGAAGCAGAGTTAGTGACATGCAGTTAAGCCGAGATAGCAATATGCAGTGTTAGGACATGAATGTGAGCAAATGACGAAGAACCAACTCTTCAGAATCTGAGAGCAAGCAAAAGAGAAGGAGAAAGGGGCTTGGTGTATCATAGGAGGTCACCCGGCAGACTAGGCCTATGTCAGCCTAACTAGGGACTGGTCCAAGGCAAACCTGAGCCAGCCCTAACTATAAGCTTTATCAAAGAGTAAAGTCTTAAGTCTATTTTCTAATGTGGAGATGGTGTCTGCCTCCCGGACCGCAACACGAAGATGATTCCACAGAAGAGGAGCCTGATAGCTGAAGGCTCTGGCTCCTGATCTACTTTTGGAGACTTTAGGCATCACGAGTAACCCTGCATTCTCAGAGTGCAGTGTTCTGAGAGCACTGCTTAGTTTTACTGTTTGATCTGAGTTTGGCCTGAGTTTGATAGAGAGAGTCACTCTTTGAGTCCGCAGTGGCAGGCTACGAAAATGCAGGAAGCATGATCTGCCAGATAATTTGAGCTGAGAGATGGGCAGGGAGATCTAGACGCTGGTATGATGGAGGGAAGCTTACCAAAGTTCATACTACCCACATGGTCATGATACAGAGCTGGTTGAAAATCGGCACACTATCCTTGTAAGTGGAATGGAGCCAAAAAAAAGGAGACTGTAAAGAAAATTAGACACAACCTGAAACCACTCAAAAAAACAACTCTTTTGTAGCTTTTGACAGACTCTTTCATAGAAAATGTATTTCAAAAAATTAATTTATGTAAGCCATGAACTGAAGAAATTGTAAGGACAAAAAGAGTGTGCTCACACTGGATAATAGCTCCAAAAGTTTTATTAGCCTGAAAAGCCAAGTTTCAGTGAACCTGAAAGGGTCGAAGGGTTGCCTTTTTTCAACTTAACATCTACAAACAACATAAAAGCAACCACAATATAAGATGGAATTTATTTTCTGTTCGGCCTGACTCAAGCCCGCTGGTCAGGTCTTAGGATACTAGGAACCGCATCGACCCGATATGACCTTTACTTGCTACACATAATTGATTCAATTCCATGCACTCACAGTCAACCCTGTCACAGTCATATCTGTGACAGTTTGTATGAGAAAATAATTGTGTTTATGCATTTGTTTGGCCATATTTGTATGCACAAGTCTGTTTCCACAGGGGAGAAACAGAGAGATAGACAAATGTGACAAGAGAAAAAGGATTAAAATACAAGTATTTTTTGATATCCAAGAGATGCACAATCACAGCTGGAGAGGGATTTGCACATGTGTATCTAATATCAGAGCCTTAGCAGCCAACTCAACTAGAGCTGTCCAAGCTATGTGTCATCACACTTTATCTGCTCGTCATTTGATAACTGAACATGCCAAGTCTGTTCTGACCTGCCATCAACCCCCGAACCAGTCCAACTGCTGAACTCTGAAAAGAACATTTTCCTTTCCCTCTCTTGTTTTCACACACATACAAAAATAATACACAGAGACTGAAGCTGAATGATAAATCAAATTCAGATCAATATAGAATGCAATTTTAAAAATTGCAACCTGAAGCAGGAACAGTTAAAAGCATGTTTACAAAGAAGTTGTGCAAATATTCTATAGCGATAGAACCAAAGTCAGTTTGTGTGATTTACCACAATACTTTAACTGAAAGGAGATAAGTAAAGACACAATTAGGGTGCTTTCAGACCTAGAGTTGTCTTGCTTTGGTTCGAATCAGTGACTAATTTTGTCACAGAGTTGCATAATTGCCTAGAGTTGGTTCATGTTCTCACGGCAGCATTTACAGTTGGACCAGAAAAAATGTCTTGCGCAAGAAAGTTGCTCTTGATTGGTCAGAATTTTAATGTGGGAAAAATCCAGGAAGTAAAGCAAATCTTGAAGAAGAACACACTTGCAAGATAAATGTGACACTTTCTAATGTCACAATGGAGGGACAACTACGCAGGTTGATTTTAGCGCTGCTCATCGTGGACTAAATTACTGTCATTGTTCATTTTAGTCAAACCATACAGTTTGAAAACGAGGCGCGGCTCCAACTAGAAAACAATGTTTTGATGCATTGGATGTGCTGAATGTGCATATTAAGGCAGTACAGGAGGAGGTGCACATTAATAATCCTCCAGGACTGTAACATGCTCATGTTTAACCCAAACAATGTGTCATGTGACTGCAGTTGGTTCAGATCCAGGTCGGAACACGTTCTCACCACAAACGAACCGCACCAGAGTTCGGTTGTAACCAGCCCGAGACCACCTCTTCAAGGTCTCAGTCCAGTTGTTTTGGTGCGCACCCAAGCGTGATTGCTGTGTTCACACCTGCCCAACCGGGGGCAAATGAACTTAAGTTTGATTGATCCGAACCAAAACAGGGCAGGTGTGAAAGCACCCTTAGATTATTTTTCCATATCCTAATAGACAAGCAAAGTTTAAGGCCATGAAGGCCCTTTCATTCTGCAGAAGAACTCTTAACTTTTCCACTGATGAAATCAAAGTAAAATTTTGATGTGTTGGACACAGTTTGTATCACAGAATGTCTTTGTTAGTGAAACAGCACTTTCCATTGGGCCACATAGGCCACGATCAGGTCAGATTTTTCATTGGTGGGAAGCCAGTGAGGGATCACAAGGAAAATTGAACTCTAGCTATCCTTTTTTCCCCTAGTATTCAAGGTCTTGGATAACTTGGATGGAAATTTAAAAAAAGAACCTTTAATTGTTGCACTTCTTACAAATGAGGCAATGAAGTACACGGCGTTAGTGTACTGCAGCTGTGCAATGAGGGAGGTCTTAACAGGCACTTTCACCTGGCACTGAACTTGCTTATGTGGCGGGAAGCACACATACGTACACAAATACACAGAAACATATGGTATTCACATACACATGTGTATTCATGCACAAAGGAACACACTGACCTTGGAGCAAATCTAGTTGTGCTCTTGGAATATACACAAATAATTCACACAAACACGTTTTTTCCTCTCTGTGTTGCACTGACTCACTGACTGCTCTCTGGAAAACAATAAAGCCTGCTTTGAGTTGGATTTGCTCCCACAAAGCTGTGGTGATTGGATTTAAACAGTGTGACCCACAATCAGTCAGTGAGCCAATCTCAATTTCAGAGAGCAATCAGCCAAATATCTCAAAAGAAACCAGAACCTACATTCATGGACAAAGGCAAATCTGCACCCACACAATTTTGACATTATGTCTACATCAACAGGATCAAATTATATTTTACACAGCATTAAAATAAGTGCAGTTCAGATACAATTACATAACTTTGTTTGAGATTTTCACTTTGCAGTCTGGACCTTGAGATCTCATATTATATAGATTCTTAAGATATCTTTGGCCCATGCGTGCATTCGCCAGGGTGTTCATTATCTCTTCATTACTTAGAATTGCTGTTACAAGATTATTTTGTGCTGACTCAGTCACAGTGTTACTTCTTGTAGGAACACCCATACTGATAAATCATGTTAAAACACACAATTGATCCAGTATCTTGATGGTGTCAGATTTCGTTCAATAATAAATAATAAAGTTTCATTTGATATATTCTGTCATTCCATATATTCAAAGGTTCATTTCATTTATTTAAAGTTTCACTCTTTATATTCAAGGCTCATTCCATGTATTCAAATATTTATTCTATATATTGAGTCTCATTCCATTTATTTGAGGTTCATTCCATATTTCAAACTTTAATTTCATCGATTCAGAGTTCAATTTATGTATTCAAACTTTTAATCCATATGCTCCATCTTTAATCATAAATATTCAAGCTTCAGTCCATACACATATTTAAACATTCATTATAATTATTCAAGGTTCATTCCATATATTCCAACTTTCTTTATACATATTCTGACTTGTCATATAATAAAGTTTTATTCCATATATTCAAAGGTTCATTCTATATAT